TGTAAAGAACCTGAAAGAATACATGCAGTGCCCTGGGACTCCGGTCCTTGCCCACTTCTCCTTTACAGAGACGACACCAGGCAGCTCTCTGTAAACCTCCTGACTTTGGTCCCATCACATACTCAGCTTCAATTTCAAGATCTGCTTTGCTGTGTCTAATAGTAACTGATGAGAGCACACAGCTATGCTTGTGTAAGCTCAACTAAGAACTGTACTTATTGATGATCTATTGGCATTTCTACCTGAATGTGAAATCTGTTATGGTACCTTGTGCTGATCTAAAAATCATGTTGGCATCAATATAATTCAACCTGAACAACCTGTAAATAAAACATAGTCCAGGTGGAATAAGTCAGCGAGTAGGAACTTAATTATGTCACACGTGAATAGTAGTTTATTTCCAATGCACAGATATCATGTAAATTAATCAAAAGGTGGTTTGCTTAATAAATATTTAACTGTGGACCAAGTCTGATTTAATATATTTATGAAAAAATACTCTTAATAGCTCTGGGTTGTATTTACAGTTTACACATAAAGGTGAGCCCATTTAAGAAAACAGGATATTCTGAATAATCCATGTACATCAGAAACAATGTAACACATTTTGCAAAACATGAGTCCCAACCAGCAGAGATACATATTTAGCAGATAACTACAGGTGGCTCTGATATGTAAGCCTGGATGAGAAAGCCAGGAAAAGACCACAGGCTGCAGAGACAGACGTGGGTTCATGAGGTGGCTCAGTAGCTAAGGAGCCTTGAGGTGAAGCTACTGATCCTCAGAGGGCCTCAGTAATCTCATCTTGAAAGAGGATAACAATACTTATCCAGTTGACATGAAAATACTTATTTCATAATTACTGGGAAAACTTGACACCATGAGAATTATAATTCTGTTTTTCATCTATCACACAAAGTATATACATAGATTCATTTTTTTTCTTCCACGTCTGTGTGTTTTGCAGTTTTTTTTCTTGTAGCTGATTTCTAATCTCATAGCATTGAGGCTGGGAAAGATACTTGATTATGATTTCAATTTTCTTCAATTTACCAAGGCTTGATTTGTGATCCAAGATGTGATCTATCATGGAGAATGTTCTGTGTGCACTTGAGAAGAAAGTGTATTCTCCTGCTTTTGGATGGAATGTCCTACAAATATCAATTAAGCCTATCTAAGCTATTGTGTCATTTAAGGCCTGTTTTCTTACTAATTTTCTGTCTGGATGGACAATCTGCCCATTTAGGTAAGTGGGGTGTTCAAGTCCCCCCAGTATTATTATGTTACTGTCCATTTCTCCTTTTATGTCTGTTAATATTTGCTCTGTATTTGAAGTTTGCCTTTACCAGTGAGCTTTCCCATTGGTAATTCTGTTTCTAGTGTATTGGGCTTTTCCACTTCCTTTGACTTGTGCTGTAAAGCTGGTTTGATGGTACTCAATTCTTAGCTTTGCTTGTGTATAAGGCTTTCTATTTCTCTGTCAAATCTGAACAAGAGCCTTCCTTGCTAGGTATTCTTGGTTGTAGGTTTCTCCCTTTCATCACTTTAAATATATCATGCCTCCTGGCTTGCAGAGTTTCTGCTGAAAACTCAGCTGACAGGGGATTCCCATGTGTGTTATTTGTTGCTCTTCCCTTGTTGCTTTTAATGTTTTCTTTTTGTCTTTTTTTTGGTCAATCTGACTACTGTGTCTCAGTGTGTTCCTTCTTGGGCTTACCCTGTATGGGACTCTGTGCCGAGTGACTATTTCCTTTCACATGTTTCAGCTAGTACCACTTCAAATGTTTTCTCTCCCTCTCTTCCTTCTGTGACCCCCTATAATGCAAATATTGGTGCATTTAATGTTATCTAGGGGTCTCTTCCATTCTTTCTCTCATTTATTCTGCTATTGATTCTTTCTAGTGTATTTTTCACTTCAATTATGGTTCATCTGTTTGCTCTCTAGATCTGCTGGCTCTTCATTTAAATTTTTGTGTCTTTATTCTTTCTCTAGGTTCTTGGATGCTCTTACGGTGATTACTCTGCACTCTTTCACAGATAGGTTGGCTATCTCCACTTAGCTGTTCTGTGGGGGTTTTATCTTGTTCCTTTGACTGGGACATATTCCTCTGCTGTCTCATTGTTTACATTTCTGTTTGTATTTGTATATTGTGTAGTCGCTTAGTTATGCTTCTCTGTCTTAGAGAAGGGGCCATCTGTAAGGGGATGTCCTTTGGGTCCCAGCAGAGGGTCAGGGACCAGTCAGTCCCTATGTAGATTCTGATCTGTGTTATTAACTCAATTCTGCACAACTATACTTCCTCACTTCTGGTGGGTGAGGCTGGTCTCAGGGCTCTGTGCAGGTTTTCTGGGGGGAAGGGGCCAGCGCCTCCTCACTGCTGTGTGCAGCAGGGTCTTGGCCCTGTGGTGGGCCAGCCTCTGCCAAGGGATGTATCCAGAGGCAGCCATGAGTCAGGAAGTCTGGGCAGCCTGTCTGCCAGTGGACAGGGCCACTTCCCACCCCGCTGGTTGTCTGGCCTTAGGCGTCCAGCATTGGAGCTTACAGGCTGTTGGGTGGGGTCCCAGTGCCAAGGACTCAAAATGTTTGACTCCACCCAGAGTTTGCAGAGGTCCCCACTGGATCAGCCACCAGCTTTTATGATGCCAGCGAGCCACAGCTGCCCCCACCTCCCAAGGAGACCCCCCCCCCCCAAGACCAGGAAGTAGGTGTGCCCAGGTTCTTGTGGCGTCTCAGCTTTCACCCTGAGCACCTGTGTGTGTCCTCCAACGGTGGAGTCTGTTTCCCCCATCCTGGGGTGCTCCTGAATTGAAGCCCTGCTGGCCTGCCAAGCCCAATGCTCTGGAGGCTCCTCCTCCCAAAGACTGACCCCTGGGCTGGGGAGCCTGGCATGGGGTTCAGCTTCCACTCCTGTGAGAGAAGTTCTGTGATTTAATTATTCTCCAGTCTGTGGGTTGTCCAGCTGAGTGGCATGGGATCTGATTACACCATGAGTGCACCTGTCATTTCGCCTCTTGCTCTCGTCTTCACGTCTCTGGATGTAGACTTTTTTTTGGTGTGCTCGTGAGAGGAGAGTGAGCTCAAGTCCTACTCCACCACCTTGGCTGAAAGTCTCTGTTTATGGTTCTGGAGGCTGTGAGCCTGGCAACAAGGGGCCACCGAGGTTGGTTTCTGGTGAGAGCTCTCCTGTAGATGGCCGTCTTCTCTTGAGTCCTCACATGGCCTTTTTTCAGCAATCTTATTCTTCCTTACAACAACGGGCAGTGTCCACGTTCTCCTAAGAAGTGAGAGAAGGTCTCACGGCGCAGGTGAGGAGGTTGCAATGTGTGCAGGTGGGTCTGGAGGTTTTCCCCCTTTTTGGTCTCAAAAACCCTAATAAGGTAACTATCCCTGCTATGCCTAAGATTTTTCATTATAATCTGCTCAAGTTTACAAAGTTAAATGCCAGAATAGACTCAAATTTCTGCTGTACCGTCAAAGTTCAAGCTCTTTTTACAGGAAAGAAAAACAATCTGACTGTAATACACACATTTGTAGAATAACTATAGTGAGTTGCCACTGCAATTTTTTTTTCAGAATTACACTAAAATCCCATAAAAAGGCTTTTAGTCTTGGAAAAGACTGGGTAAATAGTTTTCTTACTTGCCCACCCAACTTTTTACATGAGTATAATAATGAGAAAAAAGGTTTAAGAGATAGATACAATCCTTGGTAATACTGAAATTATGCTTTGTGTAACCTTTTCCCTGACAATACAAGTTAGTCTTCATACATATAAGATCCTCCCTCTTGCCTTTATTATGTGAGGAAGCAAATACATGAACAAAACCTAAGTACACTTTAAACAGGATTACTATTCCTTAAATAACTGAAAACACCTAGTCTTAATCATTTTTATTTGCCTTACTTGACAAATAAATACAAGAGAATGTCTATGAAACCACTGGAAATATAATATAAACTTTAAAGAATTTATTTTGACTTGACCCACATATTTCTCAGAATGGGAATATACACATTATTCATCAATAAATGCTTAATGCTTTAAATTTACAATTACCTTACTTGCAGAAATTTGGAAATCATTCCAATTAAATCAAAGTACAAAAGATTTTTGTTCTTATATTTAAAATAAAATTTCTATAGCAGCCAAAACCTTTAACCAAAAATTCGGAAGTGCAGTCTCTTAAGTTTAATAAAATGGCCACATTCTAATTTAATTATCTTCATTATTAACACAAGAAAAAAATATGGTGGCTCCTCAAACAAGGCAAACTAGTAACTGGTAGTTTTCCTTTCTGGGCACTCAAAACTGTCTTTATTTCATCTGTTCAAACAGTTGCTCCAACTTTAAAGAAAGTTTAAATGGACTTTTGACATTTAATATTGTTGATGCTTGCTAAGACTTAAGAACTCCAACAATGAGAATCAGAAAATGACCACAGTTAAAATTATCCTAGAGGACTTAGTACTACACAGAGCAATCTGGTATTCAATAGTGTTTTGAGTTACGTATTTTCACAAACGCAGCACCTCATGAAATACCTGGTAAACCACTGTGCAGTCACAGGAAGGGTTGGGAGACTAAGCTCCAAAGAGAATCATGGAACCCGTTTAACATAACATTGCAGGACGAATCTCAGGCAAAATCAGCATAAGGAGTGCAGTCTGTTGATTCCCACACTCTGAGGGGATGGTCATCTATACCAGGCACCATCTTATTGAGACACGGTATTAATACTATGCTTCCAAAATCCAGAGTAGATAAACGTGGAAATGGACTTCTTTACAAATGATCTATTAAATGTGCCTGTAAAACTAAAAAAATTTTCCAAAAGATCTGATGAGATATGGTTATTTTATCTCCTTAACCCAGGTAATTCTGTCAAAAAGATACTAAATGAAGTCCAAATTTATAAAGTTTTGGTGTAAAAGCTAATTGAAATCCAGTAGAGTTTAACTCTCTTCTGAATAACGAAACTACTACTCACTTTGTTGAGTGTCACAAGCTGTACTCCTGACCTGAAGAATCACTTTTTTTGTGCCGAGGAGAGGGAGCAGTCTTTGTAGGAGATGGGGATGCAGTACCAGGTGAGTCAGTCCCTCCATCAGACGTACTTGGTGAAGATGCCAAGTGAGGGACTTTCTTTCTTCCGAGGAATCCTCCTCCTTCAAATCCTCCTTTCTTCCGTGACTCCACTTTATTTTCATTTTCATCTTCTGATGACCTTTTCTTGGATTCCAGAAAACCTTCAGCTAGTCTATGAACTTCCACTACACTATCTGATTCTCTCAAGCTTTTAACTTCCGTTCCAGGAGACTTCCTCTCAGACACATTACATTCCCCTGCTGCCCTCTTAACTTCAGCTTGTATTGGACCCAAGTTACCATTTTCAGGGACAGCTCTTTCTATGTTTCTGTTCAAGTTCACAGTCTGGAAGTCCCTATAACTGTGAAAGCTCTCAGTCCTCCTTGCTCTTGCTAACAAAGGACTTTCTCTGTAAGGCCTAATGGAACCGTAAGTAGCTGCTTCGTGGATGATTTCATGGTGCTGGAGCTGAAGACTGAAATACAAAAGTCACATGTCTTCCTGGGAATTTTCAGGGGCACATCTAATTAATTAAACTACCAGTTAAAATGTAAATATATATAAAGAATATTACAATATTTATATATAGAAATATATCTTAGCATGCTATATAAAAATATCTTAAGCACTCTATATACTGTGTGTATAAAATTAACAATGCAAATAATGCCATACATATATTCTCAATGAAGCTAGATTCCTGAATAGCTGAAAAAAGCTAGGGAAAAAAAAACCTTTAAAATCAACGTGGAGAATTTGGCCCTTAGTTCACATTTTGGAAGTTTTCAAAAATATGGTTAACTAAGAATATACATGTCATTGTATTAAAAGTACTTAATGTTTAAGATTAGAGGCGTAATAATTTTGGTTAATATGTCCCTGAGACAATAGGAACAAAAGTTCCACATAGCATCTAAGGGGACATATGATTTTTCTAATTTCCTTTGAATGAATTCTTGATCACTGTAACAGACATCTAAATTGGCAGCAATTCACAAATAAGTTAAAGGGCGAAAAATGTTTTTCTATGAAAGGAAACATGCATGTAGATGAGAAATTTAGTAAAAAAAATTTTTAAAAATTGAATAGTGACAAAGTATGAATTTAAAATGTACTTTGAAAAATTTGGCTTTAAAAGATTATGTGATTACAATATTTCAGCCAATTTTCCAAAAAGCAATCAATTCAGTGCATGAACCTACCTAGAATTTGATTCGCGAAGACGGCTATGCTGAACCACAGAAGTTGCTGGACTGATATTAGGAGTAGCGCAGCGAGACGTGCTCAGGTCACACTGATCCAGTAATTTGAGTAGTTCTTCTTCAGTTGGACCACCTACATCTTAGGAATACATACATCACTGTAATCATTTGCATGAAAAGCCTACCCTGTGACGAACACTGTTCTTTAAGGAACCTACCCTTATCCTCACTTTTGTTGACCATATCCATGGCAGTGGTCAGATCCCACATCTGAATGCTGCCGTTTGTGTGGCCTGTGAACAAGTACCGCCTTGGCCTTGAGCCCATCCTGCTGGAACCCTCACATTCTCTTACTGTAAATGAGGATATTGTAGTACAGTCAACAGCTTGGATTTCGCAAATTCTGCAAAACATATTGTGCAGCTGTTAACTATGGAGAACAAATCACATTTTATAATTCAGACTTTTGAAATTAATTGCCTCTTTGCCAAGCTATAGTCAAATATTCCACGTATATAAAACAGATTTAAAGGGATCAAAGAAAGTCAGTAAAAGTTAAGCCTTGTTTCTTTGAACCTAGAGAAAAGGCTCTTATAAAACAATGTATTAAGTAACTGAAATAAGACAAATAAATCAATCTTAAAAGAAAATTTAAAAGAGCCTTGATGGGAATTAAGCAATTATTCAAAAAGAAGTTACTAAACTAAAAAGGCATAAAGAAACAAAGCAAGCAGGCATGATACTAGAAAAAAAATCTTGAAATCATTTAACATTTCTGTGAAAATTTTAAAAATCTAAAACCAGAAATGTACAGCTGTATGGAGATGTCTAAACAGTATCCTCCAATAGACTAATATTGTTAGTAAATTGCTTTGAAGTTATTCATTGATTTTTTTCATAAAAGATAAATAGTAATCCACATTTGACAAATAAGAAGACCAAGAAATAATGTCAGTAAGTGATGTGCCCAAGTCATAGAAAGGTTAACAAAATTGTACTTGATTGAAACATTTATCCCAGCCCACTTTAAAAAAGGAAAAAAAGATTAAGAACAATTAACACCAGGCAAATGCAAGGTCAAAAAATGAAGAGGAAACACAATTCTTATTAATGAGAGAGAGACACAGGCACACAATACGAAACTTAGTTGAGCTTCCCAGAAAGCAGGGAACCAGAGGGTGAGGGGGAGAGTTGATTCCTGCAGTGCTCACATAGAGTGATAGAAGGTATCCCAGTCTCATTCCCAACCTCAAGGGAAAAGCTTGTAATATTTTACAACTGAGTGTGAAGTATGTATAATTACTTTTGCAGATATTATTCATCAGGTTAAAGAATGTGCCTTTATTAAGTGCTAGGATTCTTTTTTTTAATCAAATGGTTGCTAAACTGTCAAATGTTTTTTCTGTGTTTATCAAGATGATCATTTTTCAATTTTTGTTAATGTGGTGAGTTATTTTTCAATATTACATATGAACTGACAAAATAGTTTTAAAAATCTTGACTCCTGTTTAGAACCACTACAGTCGGCTCTCCATGATATGGAACCCACACAGACAGAGGGCTGAGTGGACCATATCATTTTATATGTGGGACCTGAGTATGGTAGGGATTTTGGTATCTGCCTGCAGGGGGAGGTTCTGAACACAGAGGGCCCACTGTCAATAAACATGCAGTCAGTGAAATCAGCGCACACCTCCACACCATGCACAAAAATAAACTCAAATGGCTTAAAGACTTAATGTAAAATACACACCCTAAAACTAGACAAGAACACAGGCTGAACATTCTGACAAACTGTACAAACAACTAATAAAATGTTTTTTGATGTCAGTTGCCAAGACAACAGAAATAAAAGCAAACAAACTGGATCTAATTAAACTTACAAGCCTTTGTACAGCAAAAGAAACCATAAACAAAACGGAACAAACCCTACAGACTGAGAGAAAATATTTGCAAGTGATTTGACCCACAAGGGCTTAATTTCCAGAATATACAAACAGCTCATAAAACTTAAAAAAACCAAACCAGTCAAAAAGCAGGAATACATAAATAGACATTTCTCCGAAGACATACAGATGGCCAAGAGGCACATGGAAAGATGCTTATTATTGCTGCTTATTAGAGAAATGCAAATCAAAACTACAATGAGGTACCAGCTCATACAGGTTAGAATCGCCATCATTAAAAATATCTACAAATAACAAAATGCTGGAGAGGGTGTGGAGAAACGAGAACCTTCATACACTGTTGGCAGGAATGCAAACTGGTAAAGCCAGCATGGAGAACAGTATGGAGGTTCCTTAAACTACAACAAGAGTTACCATAGGATCCAGCAATCCCACTCCTGGGCATATATATCCAGATGAAACTATAATTTAAAAAGATACATACACCTCTACGTCCACAGCCACACTGTTTACAATACTCAAGACATGGAAATAACCTAAATATCCAGCGACGGATGGATAAAGAAAATATTGTAGTGATACACAATGAACTATTACTCAACCTTAAAAAAGAATGAAATAATGTCTTTTGCAGCAACAGGGACAGACCTAGAGATTATCATACTGAGAAGTCAGAAAAACAAAGACCACATGATATCGCTTTTATGTAGAAATCTAAAATATGACACAAAAGAACTTCTTTGTGAACAGAAACACACGCGCAGACAGAGAACACACCTGTGGTTGCCACGGGAGAGGATGGATGGATGGTTAGTTTGAGCTTAGTAGGTGCGAATTGTGTTTATCAGTCGCTCAGTGGTGTCTGACTCTTTGCGACCCCGTGGACTATAGTCCACCAGGCTCCTCTGTCCATGAGATTTTCTAGGCAAGAATACTGGATGGGGTTGCCATTAACTACAAGGAACTATATACAAAATCCTGTGACAAACCATAGTGGTAAAGAATACGAAAAAGTTGTATGTGTATGTATAAAAAAAAATCACTTTGCTGTAGAACAGAAATAATTACAACAGTGTAAATCAATCATATTTCAAAAAAGTAAAATTTTTAAAAAGTACAGAAAGCCTAAATGTGTGAAAATAAACATGATTTGGCTCTTTTAATTTTTTCCTATAGGATAGAGTCCTTAGAATTACTTCCTCCTTTAAAAGATTTTACAAAGATTTTCCCTGCTCACTTTTACCACTGTCAAGTTACTTCCCCTTTTGTAAGACAAACGTTGACTTCTGAAAACAGAACGTTGACTTCTGAAAACAGAATCTTTTCAGTAAAGCGTTACCTTTTCCCAGTAGATGACAGTCTTACAAACAGTTTATTAGTGATGGGAACAACTTTCTGGATAAACACCTGTTGGTCATCTCGCTCTCCAAAAGGTCCTTGATCAGAAAACAGAAAACACTGATATAAGTGTAAGTTGATGTTTTTTGCAATTTTTTAGATTTCTAATGCCTGGAACAAAAGTACTCAATAAATGTCAATGCTACACCTTTCAGTTACACAATGTTATGTGTCAATTATATCTCAATAAAGATGGGGAAAAAAAATTTGTTGTCAAAACTGTAAACTTTCAGTGCCTCTCATCACAGTGGGATGTGGGTTCTCAGGGCAACTGTTAAAAATGACAATACTTAGCAGTTCTCACCCTAAAAATACTAAGACAGTGGTACAATTCTCATAAGCAGCTTACACTTTTTAAAGAGAACTATTTTGAAATCTTTACTGTGGGTACATATTCATTTAATAGTTTCATGCCTAAACAATTCTAATGTACTCCTTATATTCCACCAATGCTATAAGTTCTGCCTATATAAGGTGATCTAGAAGGCACATTAATTAACAAACAGGTCCTATACAACTATTAAAAGTATGGTGGGTATAATACACATACATTACAGATTGTTTCAAATGGATCTCTGAGGAAAAGAATCTACTTCCGTGAAGATTCTGTGTGTGTATATATGATGTGTTATGGTGCGTGGAGAAACTGATTTAACTTTATATACCTTTTGCTAAAATCAGAACCTTTCAGTAGAGACATGCTATACTATTTCCTGATGGATGCCATCAAAACCACTCTCAGAACCTAAGAACATCAGCCCCTTTCCAGCTTCAAAGTTATTTTCAGGTTAGTTATTAGCAATAATGGAAAAAAAGCATTTCAAGTTTCAAATGTGTATAGCCATCATGGCTTCTAATTATAAACAAAAGTGGTATTTGGAGATGGTAACACTTAGGAAATGCTAGTAAAGATGAAAAATCTGCTCTCAACTTTTTAACAATTAAAAATAATTTCATAATACAGATCTTCCTGAGCTTACGATGGGGTTATGACTTACAATATTGAAAATACCATTTAGTACTAAATGCATTTTTGACTTACACAGCTTAGCCTAGCCTACATTAAATGTGCTCACAACACTTACATTAGCCTACAGCTGGGCAGTCTTCTAACACAAAGCCTATTTTATGATAAAGTGCTGAATACTTCATATAATTTACTGAATACTGGAAGCAAGAAAGAGAACGGCTGTGTGCATACAGACTGATTCTAAGCCTATCACTTGTTCACCCTCGTGGTCATGGGGCTGCCTGGGAACTTACCAGGCCTGCTGCTGCTGCCCAGCATCACGTGTAGCACACATCCCTAGCCCGGGAAAAGATCAAACTTCAAAGTACTGGTTCTACTGAATGACTATCACACTTTTGTACCATCATAAAGTCAAAAAATATCATCTGTATTATTTTTTGACTTTAGGGAACTTAATCAGAAAAACACACTAAGCTTCTGTTTTAAATAAGCTTAAAAGTGAACATGAAGAATTTATATTTAAAACTCTTTTTTTAGGTTCCTACTACCAGTAATACACTTCTTCAGCACTGCCTTCATTGTACTTGAGACTGCCCACCTATGTCATTCCCAGAGGAGTAGCTTCCGTGGCTTTCTGTCTCCTCCAGAGACAGGATCTTGAACGATGCTAAAGGAGTAGAACCCGGCTGAGTAGAGATCATTCCTCTGAATCGTGTCACTGTCCACGTTCGGACATGGTTATTGTCTGCACAAACTAGGAGAGAAAGAGAACACACAAGAGTTTTAAAACACAGATTGTAAGACCATCAACAAAATCACTTTTATAAACACATTTTAATTTTTTTCACTATGATCTACAATAAGTAGATCATAGCACATTTTGAGTGACAAAACAACTTACTTATCTTAAAATCATACTTAATTAGTACCTAACCAACAGAAATGAGATAACTGAATATGGTTTACCTTGCTGCAAATATAAGGTATATACGTTAATCTACGGATCCTTATAAAAGTAGCCTATAGGGTATAGATTTAGAAAAGGTTAAAAAAAATGAGAGAGAGATGTGGAATATTTTCTGCTCTGTCGCTAAACTACACTGTAGACAAGTTGCCTACTTTATTTTTTCCAACCATATAAACGGTTTCTGCTTATGTTACTCAGATATTAAACAATCAAGACCAGGAGTTACTGAAAATTTACTGACACAAATGACATTTGTCCAAAAACTTGTTGCTCATTCAGTTACATCACGGAAAATTAAGATTTTAATACTAAAGTTGAGAATTATTTTTATATAAGTCTGTATATAAGAAACATATTCCAATTAGCTCAATTTATTTTTCTGTAGTAATAATATTAAGCAGTTATATACTGAGATATCTCCGAATAAGTAATCTGTTTCTGTTGGTTTTGTCTGAATAGATATCCTATTAAAATATATAAACAATTATATCATTAATGCAAGAACTGTACTTTTGTTGCATGCTTTAATAAAAAAATTTACTAACTTGTCTTTTATTATGAACTCATCAGTATATACTATGAAATTATCCAATATTTCTTTTATACACACATTTCCTCCTGGATAAGTGGCACAGTTGCACATTTTAAACAGAAATTTAGAAATTTAATTTTAGCAAACAGCAGTAAGAATAAAAAATGTACATATTATACAGCAAAATTCTCAATTCTCGGAATGCTAGTTTTCCGGTGAAAAAGACATTTAGTTCTAGGCTATTTAATAGGGTTCATGGGAAATAGTTTCCTGATTTCATTATTAAACTTAAGAGGATTCAGAAAAATAACTGAAATACTTAGCTAACTAAAAAATGCAGTTGCGAAACTTGTTAGTATGAATCATCACCTAACATTTGTTTACAACACTGAAACTGACACTAAGGGAAACAGAACGTCATTACGTATCTGTTCACATCCACCAGGTGGCAGAGTAACAGCTGAGTATATATAAAATACCCCAGATGTTTAGCTAAACTGGGTATTTTTCTTGACAAATTTAAATTTCAAACCTATACAAATATTTGTTAAAATACAAACTTAACCAAGTAATTCTTAGACAACACACCCAACACTAACATTACCATCAAAACACCATTAACTGCTCTTTAGTGTGTTGCTGTCATTTAAATACCAAAACGGTCTAGCAAAGAAAAAGTCTGTTTTTCTCACAGGATCATATTGCGTCATTTCATTCATTTATTCACAAAAACTGAGCTAAGTGCTGAGGACAGGGTGGAGAACAAAAGTTTCTGCTGCTATCGAAAGCTGACTGGACAAAGGCCTGGCTGGTTTAGACCGAGTGGCCAAGGAGGCCTCATGAGGAGGAGCTTGCAACGGGATTTGAACGTCAAGGAGAGGCAGCCAAACAAGTATCGAGGAAAACACATTTCAAAGGAACAGAACAAGGTCAAAGGTTTTAAGGCATTTTTAAGAAACAGAAGAGCCAATGAGCTAGGGTATCACGCGCAATAAGAAAAGTGACAAGGGAGGCTGAGAGAAGAGACCCAAAAGCTAAGCAGGATCCAGAACAGGAAGCGCCATGTTAATTTATTTATTCTACATACAATAGGAAGCCATCGGCAAGTCAGATCTGGTTGCACTTCTAAAGATATTTCTGCCTGCGGTGTGGAACTTGACACAGAGAGCCAAGGCAGAACTGGGAAAACTGAGAGGTTCAGCACCCCAGGGCAGAAATGCCGACTCGCTTCCAGGCTGGCAGCAATGGACACGCAGTGAAGTACTCAGACGCGTGGTGTATGCTGAAGCAAAGAAACGGGGCTTACCGACGGGTTCTAAGGAGTGAGGCGGGGAGGTGACAGAAGGGGAGGAATCAAGCCTGATTCCTAGATTTTCAGCTTGGGTATAAATGCCTAGTGATACTGTGTAATAAGATGGCTTTTGAGAGAGAAATCAAAAGTACCATTTTATTCACCGGGTTAATTTAGAGATGGCTCTTAAACCTACAACCAAATCCTAAGGACAAGCATTGTATATACAAGTCTGGAACTCTGTGGATGGTCACGGGTGGAAGGGAAGTCTAGAAGTCACCGGCATATAGATGGTAACATTCAAATTACCAGGGAAAGAAAGGACAAACAAAGAAGAATGGAGAATCTAGAAAAAGATCTAAGGCAAACCAACACTTAAGTGATTGGGCAGAAGAGGAAGAACCACCCATACAGAGTAAGAGAGATTTCTCAGTGAGGCAGATGTTAGATGAGTACTGCTTTATGAAAGATTAAAAAAAGAGATTGTTTTGGGAAGGCATCATTACATCCAAAACAGTGAGACATTCAATAAAAGCACAGTCATCCATCCATCTGCCCTTCTACCCATTCATCCATATATGGACAAGGTATTATAGCTCCATTTGATGTTTAATTACTGAAAGATGCATCACCTTTTTATATTAGGTAGTCTTCATATAAACAAAGTTAATATATGAAAATGATGTTTATAAAAATTTAAATTAGGCAGGAACTGATCTACAAAAAGATTTAATGCAAAATTGTTTTATAAATGCAAATGCTAGTGATATACATGACAATTCAATTTTTTAAGGTCTTTCAGAAATTATCTATCATATACAATAATTTCACAGTGGAATTTTACTTTTTGATCATTTTATGTTGTGTCATCCTAATTTTGCTTTAAAATCTGTAACTAATTTTTTAAATATCAAATTGGTATCTAAAATTTTAAAAAAATCTATGACTATACAGAATATAAATTCCCTCAATCATGTCCGACTCTTTGTGACCCCATGGACTATACAGTCCATGGAACTCTCCAGGCCAGAATACTGGAATGGGGAGCCTTTCCCTTCTCCAGTGGATCTCCCCAACCCAGGGATTGAACCCAAGTCTCCTGCATTGCAGGCAGACTCTTTACCAACGAAGCCACCAGGGAAGCCCTCTATGACTATGAAAAACAATAAACCCACAAATGTTATCTTCTTCACACCTCTTTATATATTTTCTAATTTTTAACACTAGTAGTTGATATTAGACTACCAACATTCCACTAACTTTAGCATTAAACCTTAATACAACCAAATTTATATTAAATTCATACTTAATTTCTCTAATAAAAAATTCTTCTCAAGATTGAGAAATTTTCTGAAGCAAAACATGCCATAAGAACAAACTATTAAAATAGAGAGTAAATAAGATACAATACCTTCTAAACTTATGCACACTACAGCCAGACAGGTTTATTAAAGAAAATCATATTTTCACAGTATTTCTCATTAAACTTTCCTACCATTTTTTTTGGTATGCCTATACATAAAACACTGCTCTTGTATTCTTTTAATCTGTAGGAGTCCAGAAAATTATACCCAAGGCAAGGTTTCATGTGAGGCAGCCCACCTTAACACTACCAGTAAAGCCACTTCACCTGACACCAGATGCTTCTCCGACAGCATGATCTTCGTGACGGGGCTTCGGTGAACAGTGAAGGTCTGGAAGAGCTGCGGGCCCGACCCGACGGTCTCCGGGTGCTGCACAATGACGCGCACCGCACCGGAGCTCGTGCCGTAGGCAATCTCGATCCAGTTACCGCTGACACCTACGCAAGATCAAAAGCGGAAAGGTGAAATAATAGGAGACATCAACAGAAAGCTGCCCTTGCAAGTGTTCCCTGTGACAGAAGAGGCAGAGCTGGGCTCAGCACTTGTATCAGCCCAAATCCAGCTCAGCACAGAAATCTGAAGACTTCTCTGACCGTCTTAAATGCCTTACTTCCTTTATAAGTCAATTCCTAACACTCACTCCACTGTACTATGTATTAGATTCTATCACAGCAACTGTAACCCCTGTTCTCTATCTACCACTGCTTTTATTGATGAGACTGATTCATAATCATTTTTAATCTAAAACACCTTACAGAGTGCCTTGCTTGAGACATAGTAGGTACTCATTAACTGCTTAAAGAATAAATCTGATACGCTAAGAACACCACTGATATAACACAGTATTCCAAAAGTAATGCTCCATATGACTTCCAGCTTAGAATGACCATCTGTTTTACTTCTGCTACAATATTAAATCTTCTCTTTGTGTAATCAAGTACTGTAATTACTTGTACATATACAAGTAATATGCTCTTCAACAGTTTCAAAGCTGTTAACTAGGGAACAAATATACCCATTACACTGCTGACATCACACTTACCTATGTTGTCTCTTTTAATTATGTACAAATATCTCATCATGTTAGGTTCATCTATGGATTTTTTTCTCAAACAGGTGCTCAGATTCCATCACATATTTAAAGACAGAATGGAGTTCAGAGATCAATAGCCTTTCAAAGCTTCACAGAGAACCTAACTTTAATAGATGTTGTTTCTGATCAACCCCAAAATATCTGAATCAAGGGAGAAAGGGCAGCCTATGGAAAACACTTAAATTTAAGGCAACTACACCCTCATGTCTTAAAAGATATTGCCACCACAAATTTTTTTCTCCCTTTTAAATTGCAGGGGCGGGAAGGGGGGGAGCATACTTCATTCTAGAGCAAGGGTCAGCAAACTTTCTGTCAAAGGCTAAATAGCAAATAGTGTAAAATTTGAATGCCAAACTGTCTCTGTGACAACCACTCACCTCTGACACAGCTGCACAAAGGCAGCCAAAGACAATACATAAAACTATCAATGAAAAAAACATGGTTTGCTGACTTCTGTTCTGGAGTAATGCAGTTTAAATTCTACCTTAATTTCAATCAAAACTGTCTGTGTACACCAGAATATTTTTCTTTCATACAGAAGATAATGATTTCTTACAATCAATTCAATAATATGATTCTACACAAGTAATACATTCAACCTATTAATATTACTGGCCACAGGTAAGTATTTCCTAGAATTCCTTTCATTACAGATTAATTTTCAGTTCCCCATTTATGTTTATCCTTCACTCTAGAATACAAAAATTCTTAATAATTTACAGAACTAGTTTGTTAATTTCACTGCAATGGCCTCTGAAAGAGAAGTTATGAGTACTGATGTTCTCCGAAACTCAAATTTGAAGTTTCCCAGAGAAATAAGCTTATTTTCCAATAGAGATTAATAGTCTGAAAGCTTCTGTTGTTGTTAAAAAGATAAAGCTCTTAATTTCAAAATGAAATCAGTGATCATAGGAAGGTAAATGTGAAGGTAAGTTTTAAAAATAATTCTAGTTATCATCATAAGAATTAACAATACAAATCAGAAGAAGAAAAGTTCTAATCTTCCACCCCAGAGTATGCTTATTGGTTATGTTTGACCTCAATCTAAAACCAAACATCAACTTCAGACTAAAAGAGATGAAATCCTATCACTGCAGTTTACCAAAACAAAGGACGAGATTAGTATTAGAATAAACCAATGAATAAACATACATAAAACAACATCAATAGCTTATAATAATTTTGCTATGCACTAACTTGTTTTGGGTGTGAGGTAAACACTCAGAGCAGTAATAGCATCATTTGAGGAATCATGATAAAGTTCAGTTACAAGAAGATCATTATCTTTCATTCGCAAAGGGAACTTCTGCATATCTAAAAAGTAAAAATAGTATGAAAATAAATAGTAAATCTAAAACTTAAAAAATTAGTATTTTATTTTCATTTAAAAAAGTCATACTAAACAGAGCCATACTAAGTGTCTGACCACTTACCTATATAATATATTGATCCATTGTTACATCCCAGCAGAAGGAATGAGCCAGCAGTGTCATAACTAGTTATAGGAACAACGTCTTGAACCTGATGTAGTGAGAATACTGTTAGATGTCAGATGTTAATTACGATCTATATCTTCTGCTCAATTTCCTCAAACTTTTTTATTCTTGCAATAAAGAAGATACTTAATTAGGGCTTAGAACATGGACTTTCTTTATACACACACACACACATATCCATGGGGAACTCTGAAGAACCACCAACAGAGTCCCCTTTAAAGCTTCTTTAAAAAAAAAAAAAAAAACAAACATTTCTAACAGCAGCACTTTCCTTTCAGAATTTAGCTGGCTTATCTCCATTTTCTGCACATGACCATGAGGTCAGAGCACATACTAGGACTGGAAAACTAAGTCTGACCCAGGCCCCTTTCTCCCTTCTCTCTCTCAAATAAGAGATGAAATGACCTGCCCAGAATTAGAATCAGAAAACAGATCAGCCAACTTCCAGACAGTACTTGCTCCCCTGATACACTGTCATTTCTTCGAAAAGGCAGCATTCTCTATCTCCCCCTGAAGATTTCTCCTCTATTTCCTAGGAAATGGCCAATCAAGTTCTCAGATGCTTTTGTTTTTTCAAGCACTAGAATTAAAAAATCAGTTTTCCAAGCAAATCAGGCTAGTTACAAATTAATGAATGCTTATGTTTGTGCTAAGAGAAAAGCAAAGGGCATGATTTTTACTATAAAACAAAATGAAAACCAGGAAGTCTTACTGAGTACTGGCAGTAAGATCAAACTCAATTGCCCTTATGTACAGCCAGACCAGGCATGCATGTGTAACTTTACACACTCAACATTCACATTATACACTTTTTATGTAATGGATAAGGGGTATGAAATACTACTTCTGCTACATAGGAGCTTAGAAACTCATGGGCAAGAAAGAAAAAAAGGACAATTACAATGTGACAGGCACTAAAATAGGATGTGCAATACAACCATGGAGAAAGAAAGGATTCCTGTTCCAACTCCAGTCCAGGGAGAAGGATAAAGATCAAGGAAAAGTTCAAACAGGAAGTAACGCTTGAAAACAAAACAAATAAATAACTAGGAGTTAGGCAGAGAAAGGAAAAAGCACATGTCTGAAGAACAGCAAGTACAGCACAGAATCTACCTATTCTAACTAAAAACCAAATTTAAAAACAGCTAAATCTTGGAAATAATGACTCCTATAAGCTGTTCATGTTCACAACCCTAATTTCTGCGCATACCTTCTGGTGTCATGCTTGGTTATAAGTCACACTAGCAATATCTGTGCAGAGATTTGATGGCCACCCTCAACCCCAGGTCAGGTTTCTGTTTTAGAGCCAACAGGTTCAGAGGAAGGAAGTCACTGAGAACTCTTCCGTGATGGGTCAAGAGGTCTGAAGAGAGGAGGGGAGGCTGCTTCACTGATGTAGCATCTTCTATCAACTAAAGAGTTCAGGTACTCCAGAAAGTGCTTCAGTTCCACCCCAGAGTCTTCACAGTCAGAGGATGGGGTAGGTAAGGCCATGAGATTCCTCCCTCTCAACCATTTTTCAATGAAAGGATGGCAGCAGCCTGGAGCTTTCCCAGGCACATCCCAGACAGACACTTGACCTCCTATTCTCTGGGAGGGTGGGCTCCAGGATTAGAGCCTTCCTAGTCCTGGAGCAGTGACGGATTTCTTCTTCTTAGGCTCTAAAATCACTGCTGATGCTGACTGCAGCCATGAAATTAGAAGACAACTGCTTCTTCACAGGAAAGCTATGACAAACCTAAACAGTGTGTTAAAAAGTAAAGACATCACTTTGCTGACAAAGGTTCATATAGTCAAGGCTATGGTCTTTCTAGTAGTCATGTACAGATGTGAGAGCTGGACAATAAAGAAAGCTGAGCACCAAAGAATAGATGCTTTTGAACTGTGGTGTTAGAAAAGACTCTTGAGAGTCCTTTGGAAAGCAAAGAGATCAAATTAATCAATCTTAAAGGAAATCAACTCTGAATATCCTTTGGAAGGACTGATGCTAAAGCTGAAGCTCCAATAACTTTGGCCACCTGGTGGGAACAGCTGATTCATTGGAAAAGACCCTGATGCTGAGAAAGATTGAGGGCAGGAGAAGAGGACAACAGAAGATGAGATGGTTGGATGGCATGACTGATTCAAACGACATGAACCTGGGCAAACTCCAGGAGACGGTGAGAGACAGGGAAGCTTGGCGTGCTACAGTCCCTGGGGTTGCAAAACATCAGCCGTGACTTGGCGACTAAACACCACCACCACCACCAGCTCTTTCCCGGCAACCCGACCACATCCTGCTCTTCTCGTCATGTCCACCTCTCAGCACAAGGAGAACAGAAAAGGCAGAGGACATATGAGTTAGGTTACAGAGGAGGTGGTACCAAGATCTTCTCTCCCAGCGTAAGCAAGGAGGCAGTCAAGAACCTGAGAAACCACATTGATCAGTACGTGTGGTTCCGTCATGGTGGTCACAAACCTAAGGTGGAAGGGAGTTTTCTCTCCTAAGGTAGTTCAGAGATTATCATTAATGTCTATGCAAAAATTTAAATGATTTACATTTTGAAAATAATCAGTCTATCTTCCCAAGCAATACAAGGCCCGTTAAATCTTGTAATCACAATCTCTACCTGGATAATCATTTTTTTAACAAAATGTTTTAACTTTTATCCACTACTTTTCAAATACTTATTTAGATTCACCAACATATCGAGAAATGCCTTTGCTAGTAATGTTCGCAGTATTCCACTCCCTCCTCTTCTAAGTAAAATAAACTTATCAAAGGGCATTTCTTCAGCAGTCCTTCCACTGAGGGCTATAAGTGACAAAGTCTTTCTGTATTATATGAAAACATCTCTCATTCATGTTTGAATGACAGTTTTGCTGAATGTAAAGTTCTCGGTTGAAACTTATTTCCTCAACTAACTTGAGAATAGCCTACTGTCCTCTGGCTTCTACTGGTGCTCACGAAGAGTCTGTTTTACATCCAACTACAGTGTATCTGGGAGCTTCCCTGCTGGCTCACAACAGTAAAGAATCGCCTGCAAGGCAGGAGACACAGATTCAATCCCTGGCCTGGGAAGATCCCCTGAAGGAAGAAATGGCAACCGACTACAGCATTCTTGCCTGGAGAATTCCATCAACAGAGGAGCCTAGCGGGTCACAGTCCAAGGGGTCACAAAAAGTCAGACACAACTGAGCGATTCTCTGTCTCTCTAATACACATACAAACACACACACACACACACACAATGTACCTGTCAGTACTCTATGGACACCTTTTGATATTTTTTATCTCCTATTACATCACAATGTGTATACTGATTCACAATGTGTGAATTTGATTTTATTCAGCCTTAATGTATTTCTTTAATCAACATAATCATGTTTCTCTTTAATTCTCCAAAACTGTGAGCAATTATCTCTTCTAAATCCTCCCATCTCCACTATTCCTTTCTGAAAGTGATTGGCTCATTTCTTCTTTTCATATTTTCTACTCACTTTCTGCTTCACTGTGAATGATTCTCTCAGATACATCCAGCAATCCACTGTCTTTTTATTTGTCTTTCCGTTTAACACCTTAAGTTCAGCAGTGCCTAACCTTTCTGGCATCAGGGACCAGTTTTGTGGAAGACAATTTTTCCACAGACTGGGGCTGGTGGGAGGGTTGGCTCTGGGATGATTCAAGCAATTTGCACGTTACTCCTAATCCAAAGGCACCACGGATCTGACAGGAGGTACAGGTCTGCAGCCCGGATGCAGGGGACCCCTGCACTGAGTAAGTTTTGTTTTGAATTTTCAATGGCTTTCAAATTTCCACTGTTTTATTTTGCTTCTTTTCTGACTGTTCCTATTCATTATAGTTTAGTCCTCCTTTCTCATTAAATAACTTTAGAAATTTATTCAATAGTAGTAATTGTTCAATTATGTTCAGCTCTAGGGAACATTTGTACTCCTGCCTACATTTGATGACTTGCCCTCATTTGCTCTCATGTGTAGTTTACCAATTTAGGAAGGTTATGGGCTCACTTTCAGTAGAAAATATTTCTTTCGTGAAGTTCTGCGTGCCATATCTTGTTTGGTTTAATGTCTACCTCTAGAAATGTAAATGACCCTAGACCAGTTCTATAAATTTCTCTAATTGGAGTTCCCAAAGCACAAAGACTCTTTGTGCTTTAAATTCATGTATTTGTACTCCCAATATGATTGTGGCCTCAATTTCTCATTGATGGTTTTCTCCTGCATTACCTTTCCCAATCCAAGATATGGAACATATATCAAGTTTTTCTATTCCAAAATTATTAAGCAAAATTTTCCCAGTCTTCTTCTCAGGGACTTAGGCAGATTATCAAAGCTTCAGCTTTTTGCAGGAGGCTGGATTTACACTGTCCCCTGAAGCCATGCCTCTTTCTTGTTTCTGGTGGAATCCCAGAATCCAGAGCCTTGACTTTGATATGTGGTATGCAAGTATGTATAAAGAAACAAATAGCAAATATAATTCAATATCTGATATTAATACAATATATACTATTTAATATTTTTACCCAATATTTCTGTATATCAGTATTGGCGGGGCTAGTGTCAACTGATTTAGCATTGTACTGTAAATCCTGATGGCTCAGCAAGTAAAGAATCTGCTTGCAAGGCAGGAGACGCAGGTTCAGTCCCTGGGTCGGGAAAGTCCCCTAAAGGAGGAAACAGCAACCCACTCCAGGATTCTTGCCTGGAAAATCCCAAGGACAAAGGAGCCTGGTGGACTACAGTCCATAGAGTCACGAAGAGCCTGACACGACCGAGCGCACGCGCACTGAAGACCTAAGCAAGCACATATGACAAGGTGGTGGTCAGCACAGAGCAGACGCCCAGGTGTCAAGTCTCCTCGCCAGCGACTCAGCTGGCTCAGCTGTGCTGCTGCAAATCCCAAGTCAGAAAACAACCTACTTGGGATAGTGCTCAGGACACAGTAGACACCCAAATGCCAGTCCTCTCTCCAATGAATTCTGGCCCTAAGAGTCCAATTCCCACCTTACTCGTACCTTGCAGGGCTCACAAACCTGTTACAAATAGAAAAAACAAGACAGCCAATCCCACCCAACCATACTTGCAAAATCAGTGCTGCAAGTGCATCAGATCACAACAGAAGAGAAGCGAAATCAAACAAACCTCCCGCATTCTGGTCTAGCACAGCCCTCAGACCACAGAAATTCACTTTCATTCTCCGTTCCCAGAGCCTGAATTTCCTCCTCAAGCTTGCCCTCCACTGTTCAGTTAGGTTATGACTCAGAAGGTGACTGGCTGATGATCCCAGTCTTCCAGAATGAACAGTTTTCTGATCCTTTAGGAATCAGGATATACGATGACTTTCCAGGACTGACTTCCAAACCTGTCTTTCAATATGAGAATGAAACCTGTAATATGTTTCCAATATACATCTACATTTAAACTTGAATGACTGGGGAAATAAGGCCTAAAACTGCTATTCTGCCATGTAACTCAGCCTAGCCTACCTATTTGAAACACTCCTTATTTCTAATGTTCTTAAATCTAAAGAGGAATTAACAAAGAGAAAACTGAACTGTTTCTTCTAAAAGTTAATTTCCCTTTTTCTTACTCCCATCAGATACAATGCGTACATGACACTTGAACACTTTACTGAAGCTGTCCTAGCGCACACGTGTGTTTTGTGTGTTCAGTCGCTCAGTCGTGCCCGACTCTTTGCAAACCCCATAGACTGTAGCCCGCCAGGCTCCTCTGTCCATGGAATTCTCCAGGCAAGAGTACTGGAATAGGGTACCATTTCCTCCTCCAGGGGGTCTTCCTGACCCAGGGATCCCAAGTCTCTTATGTCTCCTGCGCTGGCAGGCCGTCTGAGCCACCAGGAAGAGCTGCAGTGAGAAACTGCTACCCCTAAACACCACCATGGCTTTCAGGCTTAAAAACTCTTGCTCTCAGGCTTGCTCATCTGACTCAAATATTTCAGATCAATCTTGATTATACAACTGGAGTCAGGAACTACACCAGTCGTCCTGTGTACTTCTGTGTTACTCCTGGGCAGAACTGTGGCTTCAGGCCACAGCAGAATCTGCTCATCCGTGCCACAGCAGTCACAGGAGTCAGCCCCAGGTCACAACTGTCTGTTGAGATTTTCAGATCAGACACTGAGATTTCATGACAGACTAGCTCGGTCCTGCACACCCAAAAAATAAATAAATAAATAAATCATCTATCTAGGTTATAAGTTACAAGGCTTGTTTGCTGCATGAATGTTCAGCTCACCCCAGGTCTTCCTGAAATGTGGTAACAAACCTACTTTGTCAGCTGTGGTTTTCAACTCATGCATGTACCAAACAAGAAGCAACAGGTTATACCCATGGGGCTAAAAGCTTAAGAAGTATGCACTTTGAGGACACCAGTATAGTTTCGGGAATCTCAAAAATATGAAAATTTTTACATGCAGGTGTGACATTAGAAAAGACAAAAAGCTGATAAAGACACATGTTCCTTTAGGAACTGAAAGGTACCTCACAAGTTTTAAGGCACAGACAGCACCACTTCTCTGAGCCACTGAAAGCTCAGACTTGACATATCAGCCAAGTAACCTACCTGAGAGCAGACCTTCCATAAATCAGTAAAACCCACATTCCTCTTTGCAGGAACAGCACCAGCTGAAGAATCCCTCCTCCTCAATTTTAGATCAACCTAGATCAGCCCTTTCCCACACTCCCTGGCCCATCACTTTTACGGTAACACCTTTATGGTGCCTTTTCTGTGCCTATATGGAAGGTCCTATATGAATTAGCTCAGTCACTGGCGAGGAGACTTGACACCTGGATGTCTTGTGTACTGACCACTAACTGCCCTGAACATGCCGTATTTGCTTGCCTAGGATTTGCAGTGCGTGTGTGTGCGCTCAGTCGTGTCAGGCTTTGTGACTCTGTGGACTGTAGCCCACCAGGCTCCTTTGTCCTTGGGATTTTTCAGCCAAGAATACTGGAGTGGATTGCCGTTTCCTCCTCCAGAGGACCTTCCCAACTCAGGGACTGAACCTGTGTCTCCAGCATTGCAGGCAGATTCTTTACTTGCTGAGCCATCGGGATTTACAGAACAATGCTAAATCGGCTGACACTAGCCCCACCTAATCTTAGCTAGTATCTTTTTTCTACAATCATGACTTCCATGTCTTCATCTAGAATGAAATTTAATTTTCCCTGATCGTAATCTCTTTCATTGGAAGTCTTTCACTCTCTCACCACTCCCCCGCCATCTTTTGTTGCTGTTCAGTGGCTAAATAGTGTCTGACTCTTTGCGACCCCATGAACAGCAGCAGCATGCCAGGATTCCCTGTCCTCCACTATCTCCCACAGTTTGCACAAACTCATGTCCATTAAGTTGGTGATGTCATCTAACCATCTCATCCTCTGTAGTCCCCTTCTTCTCCTGCCCTCAATCTTTCCCAGCATCAGGGTCTTTTCCAATGAGTTAGCTTTTCGCATCAGATGGCCAAAATATTGGCACTTGTTAGGCCCTGCCATAAGATCTCAAGGACATCCCTGCACAAGCTCAACTCAAGCATGACATTCAATTACCCTCTCTCTGCCCCAACTGCAGCTTCCAGATCAACCTATCACCTTTGCTGAGGAGCTGGGCATCTGATCAGCTGGATTTTTGTCCCATTCACTGTCACCATCCTGGTACCAATATGTCCACCCTGATGACCCTCACAGTTCTCTGACCCCTACTGCAACTACTTTCACCTTTAAGTCAGTCCAACATATGATTTAAATGACTACATCACCGAGAACTGTTTCAACTCCAAAATCTTAATTTCAGCCTTTGACAACAATTTCCTATCTTCACAATTTCCACTCCTTTTAAGTGGAAAAGTGCTTTACCTTCCCTCCAGTCCCTAGACTCCTAGCATCCTTCTCTGCTTGCCTGGTAATCCATTACAATCTTACAATTTCAACTGCTTTGCCATTTTATGTTTCTCTTCCCTTTGTATGTCAGACCCATTTAATTACATCTTCAATCCTGAATCAAGCCAAGGCTGTTTTCTCTTTCTCTTGTTCCCTCCCAGTACTGAGGATTAAGGAAGAAACTCATAAAACTGTACCAACCAGGTCCCTTATAAAGATTTATAATCTCTGCAATCCCTGAAACACACCTCCATGTCTTTCTCCTCCACAGTACTCCTTCCCGACTCTTCTGTCACAGAGAAAGAAGTCTCTCTTCTCTTTTGGGTCTATTGGGTCTACTATGTCCTAGACACTATGTACATATACTCCTGATTTCTATGGGACTAGCAACCATCTCCATTCTTCCAATCTTTAAATGCTTTCTCTGTCAACTCCCTTCTCTCACTAACAAGCATGCTCAAGCTTCTAAACTCCTAGAGAAAAAAATGAAGCACTGAATATCTTTTCCTCCATCTAGCCTTGATCCTTAAACTATCACTTCATTTCTCTGCTCTACTTCATCATCAAACTTTTGAAAAACATTCTGAACTTACTGCCTCTAATCTCTGATCTTTTAATTTCTCAGTTCCTGCAATCTGTCTCCCCACCACAGCCTAACTTTGCAAATGATATTCTACCACCAAAACCAACACCATTTCCCAATTGCACCTTATGTGTCCCTTTAGCTCTTCATTTCCTATCCTGTTCCCTGAAAAAACTAATGTTACCCAGCATTTTAGTTCTGGCTTTTCTTTAGAGATATCCTTTCAATGGAAAATCTTATCAATTCTTATCTTTCAATTACCACAGAAGTGTTGTGGTTTCCAAATGCTCTTTTCTAGCCCTTTCTTCTTTCCTAAATTCCAAAGAGGTACTCCCAACTGTTTCCTGAGCCCCTGTATTCGGATGCCCACAGGAATCTCAAAAGAAACATATTTAATCATTCTAATTATTCCTCACACTAAGCACCAGCATATATGCTTCTCTCACTCCATTCCCTTTCAATTTAAAATACTACCAGCCACCCAACTGCCAAAATTAGAAAGCCATCTCTCTTCTTTAATTTTCTGTATCTAATCAGATACCAATCCTCACGATTTTAGGATGGCTTACGAATTGCTTTTCAAATAGTCTCTTACCATCTACTCACTCTGGCTGAATCTCTGCTTCTTTTGCTGGATACATTCCCTGATCTCCAGTCCACTTTTCATATTAGCTATTACTGTTATCTTTCTAAACCATGGATCTGATCAAATCACTCTCTGCTTAAAGTTCTTTAATTTTTCTCCTCTTCTTCAGAATCAGGTATTAACCTTTCTTTAGTCTTATATCCTTGTTCGTCTCAAGTACCTGAGACCATTTAGTTAGCTATCCTCTATTTTCCTACAGAACAGTGCTTCCACTCAGGAGATGAAGTGTGCCTGGACTGCTACTATCCCCAAGGCATAAAACTTAAAACATTTCAAGGCAATATAGAAATGGCAAATCACAGTATAAAAACACATTCATTTTCCAAAGTGACTTAAGATTCTTGAAAATATAGTCAGACTTGTATCCAGAAGCTAACTTACCACTAAATATATTCAATATTCTATATAATCAAAACAGAAACAATACGAATTCCACAAGAACAGAGCACATGCACAATCAGCACACGTTTCAGAAATAATCTGATTTCTGTGATACGCATTAGTTAAAACTAACCTGCCAGTGCTGGGTGACAGCATTCCACACTCCCACTTTCCCTGTATGACTCGTGGCCACCAACTGGTTACCAATAAAGAAGAGAGCATCGACAGGAACACCAAGGCTGAACACTCCTTAAATGATAATAAAAAAACAGAGGTTAAGCAATCACCAACTTTCAATTAATCAAAACTCAGCCTAAAAACATCTTAAAGGTGTCTCATTTCTACAAATTATGTGCCAGACATTTTGGGAACTTTAAGCTCTTAAAGTTCATAAGAAACTTTAAAGTTTCATAAGAAACTTTAAGCTCTTAAACAGCAGGTAAACGTTTGCCCCAAGTGATCTCACTCTGATTGAACAGCTTGTTATCTGAAGCTGTGGCTCCCAAACCTAGCTGTAGCTGTTCAGTGGCTCAGGCATGTCCAACTCTACAACCCCATGGGCTGCAGCACGCCAGGTTTCCCTGTCCTGCACCATCTCCCAGAGCTTGCAAAAACACATGTCCATTGAGTCAGTGATGCCATCCACCCATCTCATCGTCTGTCACCCCGTTCTCCTGCCTTCGATCTTTCCCAGCATCAGGGTCTTTTCTAATGAGTTGGCTCTTCACATCAAGTGGCCAAGGTATCGGAGCTTCAGTATCAGTCTTCCAATGAATATTCAGGATTGATTTCTTTTAGGATTGACTGGTTTGATCTCCTTGCTGTCCAAGGGACTCTCAGGAGTCTTCTCCAGCACCACAGTTCAAAAGCATCAATTCTTCGGTGCTCAGCCTTTTTTATTGTCCAGCTCTCACATCCGTACATGACTATTGGAAAAACCATAGCTGACCATCAAAACAACTGTGTAGATTTAAAGTGAACATAATAAAATAGCAAGGATCCTGGGATTCATGCTAGGCCCACTAAATGAGAAAACCCGCTTCCTTTGTATAAAATCTATAGAAGCTTTAGCTGCAGCCTGCTCACAGACCTGATATTTGAGAATCACTGATCTGAAGACACAGACTTGGCAACCCAACTATCCACAATGTATCTAGAAAACTGAAAATAAGCAAACAAGAAAAATGAAACAGTGAGTAGTCATGCTGTGTTCAAAGTAAACATTCAGGCCTTTATCAGAGCTTATCTTAAACCTCTCATCTGCTAGTATTGCAGATTTCAATTTAATTCACTCCAAAGACACTATACTAGGCCATGGGATTAAAATACATGAAATGATGGTTAAACAACAAGGATTTACTGTATAGCACAAGGAACTAAATTCAATATCTTGGCAGTAACCTATAATGGAAAAGAATCAAAAACAAAAAAATATATACAGAGGACTGCCCGTTAGTCCAGTGGTTAAGAATCCACCTGCCACTGCACGGGATATAGGCTGGATCACTGGTCCAGGAGGATTCCACATGCCGTGAAGCAACTAAACCCATGTACCACAACTACTGAGCCCAACGGCCTAGAGCCCATGCTCTGCAACAAGGGAAACCACCAAAAACGAGAAGCCAGCACATCACAAGGAAAAATAGCCCCTGCCCGCTGCAGCTAGAGAAAGCCTGCATGCAGCAACAAAGACCCAGCACAGCCAAAAGTAATTTTTTAAAAAAGAATATATACATATGATCTATCTCTGAATTCCTCTGCTGTACAACTGAAGCTAACACAATACTGTAAATCAACTATACTTCAATAAAAAGCAAATACATATGAGAAAATAATATCTTACTAGGTACTTGTGATTTAAAAGAAGAAAAAAAACCACAACCTATTATAACATAATGCAACAAAAGGATGCACACAGTGATAACCAGAAGAATAAAAGAGAGTAGGAAAAGGGTTTTCAGAATATTTCTTAGGAAAGAAGCCCTCTGAGTTGGGTTTTTAAAAAGGTGAAAACAAGTTCCTCAAACCGGGGGATTTGGAATGGGTAAGCCCAGGGAATCTGAGAAAAGGGAAGAAGAGACACAGGTGAGGAAGGACCTTGCAAGGAGAGCTCACATTAATAGCAAAACAGCCACAACTGCCCGGCTGACCTTGGTCTTGTCTGTGTGGCACTGCACAGCTGTCTCTCTGTAGCTGAGCACTACACCTGCAGTCAGGAAGACTCTGTCCTGGCATCCTGGCCCTGGAAGCACCGTCACCACTCTTCCGGTTACTTATCTGATCGATAAAACAGGGTCTACGCTCAATGTCTCAAGGCTCACTTTCACCTTAAAAATGCTATAATCCAATTTTAACATTTAAATAGTATTATCTTAAAAAAATAGTAGTCTTAATTATTTGAAAAGTATCTTATGAAAAGTATCTTTTTATTTAACCATAAGTCTCATTATAGAATAAGTCTAAATAAGTCTCATTATAGAAGACCATTTTATGTGGATCTTTAGCTGTTTTCAAGTATCAGATTTTTTTTTTGTTTTTAAAAAGGTACCTAATATGTGACAACAAGAACAATTTTCTCAGCATCTAGTTGAGAAAAACAAGGATTCACAAGACTTTGAAGAACTCATGGGGAGAGACAAAACTATTAAATGTAACTGTAACGTGTTAAAAGCACAAGCCAGAAAAGGTAACTGATTTCTTTAGAATTTTATATCAATGAGGGATATTTCTCTTTCTGTTCAGAACTGTACTATATATGAGACCAGGCCAGTGGCAATAAACAACACCTTGAAAATTCTCAACCAATCTTGAAAAAGCCAGGCATCTCGCAAGGAACGAAAATGATATAAGCTTGACAAAAATGGAAAACAAACCCGGAAAGTATGGCCAGGAATGTCTTCCTTATACACACCTTAACTTTTACGTACTTATAAATACATATTTATACACATGAATAGGTCACCTCAACCCAACCTGTCAACCAGAAAAACCAGAGCAAAACAAAACAAAGCCTGCACACAAAAGCTAAACTGGCTGAGAAATAAACTTGCCACTTCAAAGCACAGTGTAATCATTTCACATGCAATTTCAGGGTTCTCATGTATGAGTATTTTAATTTTGATGCTAGACAATTTTTCAGAACACGTTAAGATACCTATATTCAGTAATACAGGCTATGTGAAAGGTAGAAATAAAAACAGGAAAACTAGCAAACACTGATTACTTGAGAGAAGAGTGAGATTCTGGGAAATCAAGAAAGACATTCTGAACCATCTCAAGAAATTTAAAGTGTCACCCCTGACCCTTGCTTAGACTCAGCAACCCAGACCGTTATCCACAAAGAAGACACTGTAAATAATGACAAGTTCCTGTCTTAAGGGAGCCTCCTGGTAAAACACTGCTTATAGCAGCAAGCCAGCAGTACTGTCCGATGTAAGTTATAATGAAGGGATTCAGCCTCTAAGGGAGCTCTATCATGGATACACCAGCTCTCAAGTTTTCTTTGGATGGTTTTGCCAAGTTCTGAAGAATATTTGTAACAACAAATGATCTCTCTTAAAGGGTGTGAACAAATTACTATGTATTATCTCAGTAAGTAGCTAGCAAGTCAGCCTTTGGGGGAAAAAAAAAGCAAGGCATAAACTTCACTTATTGGCATGTTACAAGTGGCAACTTGAAAAAACAAACTAAAATCACAATTGATCTCCTTTCTATATAATTACAAGTATATTATAATTTCAAAACATTCTAAGTTTTTTCCCTGAAGTTTTAGGGTGGACTTTCACTAACAGTCATGATGGATAACATGACATCAGACTATTTCTCACTATAAACAACAATAACAAAAGCCTGGCCAAAATACATGAGACAACCATTTTTAGACATTGGACAACAGGCAGCAGGAGACTTGAAAGCCAGTAAATACACAAGATAAGCCCCATGATCAAACTGGCTTTCTGTATAAGCCTTCCTGACAACAGGGAGGTGAAACTCAAGGGAAAACCAAATGATGGTTTTTCTCAACTGAGAAAGCTGAGATCAGAGGCCAGAGCTGTTGAGGAAGCTAGAATTTATGAATAAGATATAAGAAAGAAGGGAAACACACCAGGGTGGGTGTGAGGATGGCAGAGAATTTTAGAGCGGTTTCCCTAGTTTCCTTCTGCCTTGGCTGAGGCAGGCTGCACCTGGGCTGGCCCGAGAACCCATAAGGAATAAAAAAGAGGGGCTGCAGCAGGCCTGGGAGCTGAGTGGAGATAGTAGAGGTCACTTGCGGGTGAATTCAATAGTTTCAGCTCAGTAAGTGTGAAGAGTCTTTCACTCTTCAGGCATTCTGTTAAGATTCCAAAATGACAATACTTAACACACCCTGAGTAGGAGCCATGCCTTAAAATAAAATATAAAGCTGAGAAAGGGTACCTGTCCTTAACAAAGCAAATGAACAACAAGCTTAGCAGAATAAACGTCCTCTGGTAATTTAACTGCCTGCTGGAACAAAACTCACATCTTAAAAGCACTATTAATCCATACTCCCTGCATAATGGATCATGCAATGCCCAGCATATATCACAAGTTCCTAGACATGTGAAAAAGCAAGAAACCGTAACTCAAAATAAATCAGATGATTCAATTAATAGATTTAGCAGACAAAAACTAGTAAAACAGCTATAATGAATATGTTGAGTTTAACTAAAAAACAGGACATAGTGAGTGAACAGACTAGAAAAATCTCATCAGAGAAACAAACTAAAATAAAAATTTAAAAAGGCAATCTTAGAGCTGAAAAGGCCAACATTTCAAATAAAAAGATTATCATATGGGCTCCACTACAGACTAAATGAATACCACAGCAAAATGGCAAAAGACAGTAAGATACTGATCTAAACTAAAGGATGGGGAGGAAAGAAACTGGAAAAAAACTAGTGCTCCAATGGCCTCTAGGCAAATATAAAGCGGCATAACATGAAACTGAATCTCCACAAGAGGAAGAGAGAAGAGGGAATGAGGGAGGGATAATATGGAAAGAGAAATGGGTGAGGGCAAGTGGGGGAGGAAGACAGAAGACTCCTCCCTCAATGGTGTCAACCAAAAATGTCTCCAGACATTCCCATAGGCCCCGAGGGACATTATCCCAAGTTGCAAACCACTAATCCAATCTACGTACAGATTAGATTAGATCTACGTAATCTAATCTATTACAAATCAGTAACAGGATGACAATCTCATAAAAAGAGGGTAATGATTTTTAAAAA